TTTGGACTGCAGGTGTTTAAACTTGTCTTTCTTTGAGACAGATGATGGATCATTCTGCTAGCCTGCATAGGCCTTGTTCTTGGCCTGGAGGGATGCAGAAATGGCGTTGTGGTTTTCATCCAACCAGTCTTGATGTGCCTGGGGTTTCAGTCTGAGTACAGGTGTTGCAGTCTGCATGATGACATCTTTAAACTGCATCCACTTTTCAGAACAGGTTCCTACAAGCAGCAAATTGCCAGAGAGCTTTTCATTAAGTACATCTTGAAAACGTTGGACTTGGCTGGGGTCTTGCAATCTGCCAATGCTGTATGATGCTCTGACAGTCCTTGGTTGCTTACGATATAAAGGGGCTATGTGCAGGTTGAGGACTGACTGGACCAGCCTGTGATCTGTCTAGCACTCAGCTCCTTGCATGGCTCAGGTGATGGTGACATCTTTAAGGTCACACTGAAGTACTATGACATAATCAAGTAGGTGCCAGTGTTTGGATGCATCCAGGTTGTTGTGTACTTGTTTGCAGGTCTGGACATTGTGCTAGTGATGCATAGGTTGTGCTCAGCACACTTGCTCAGAAGCAGCAGGTCATTACTCTTTAGTTTTCCCACCCCATGGCTCCCAAGGACTCCATTCCAATTGTTGCTGCCTGTCACCACCCTAGCATTGAAGTTGCCCAGAGTGATGAATTTGTTGCTGGCGGGGGTTGTTCGAATAATCTGGTCCAGGTCCTCATAGAAACCTTCCTTGTCTTTGTCTGGACTTGTGAGAGTTGGTGCATAGATTCTGACAGTGGTGATATACTGGGACTTGCTGAGAGGAAACTGGAACTCTATAATACATTCATTTATTCCAGTGGGTAGAGTAGATATGTTCTTCAGCAGAGCAGTTTTGATTGCAAAACCTACTCTCTGAGCCCTGTTGGTCAGTCTGTGGTTTCCCTTTCCAAAAGAAGATATATGCATTTGCTGCTTCTTGTAATGAACCCTTGTCTGCAAGCCTGGTCTGAGCGCAGCAATGTCAATGCTATAATGGCGAAGTTCAGGCAAAGTTCAGCTGCTATGAGTGCTCTGCTGCCCCGGTTACTGAGATGAATGACCACTGGTCCAAAGGCCACTCACATGCAGGTTTGTGACTACAACTGCCAGTGGTCATCTCCACCAGTTGTTTTGCCATTCCCCCATCGCCGCAGGACAACAAATTAGATTTGGACTGAGATGAATTGCAGATGGGTTGTAGATGAATATGAATATGAATTGCACAACAGAAACCTGCATGTGATGGAGTTTTAAGTGGAGCAGCTTCTGCACAGGGGCAGTCCCACTCTCTCGGCAGAAGTGGCCTTAATCCAGTGGCATGGACAACCATTATGGCTGGAGACCTATCCTGCTCCAGTGGATGACCAGGAGGTCTCAGTGTCTTCTTGTGCTTCTAGCGCTCCACAATGCCTACTGGGCCTGCCTTCCTGTCCATTGGAACGTTGATCAGTCTCCTTCACTCAGTCTGCCAGGGCCAGACTTCACATGCTGGGATGGACAAAGCCCCATCTCACCAAGGGTCAAAGACCCATTGGCTACCCTCACCTGGTTTGGCCCATCTGCGAGGCGGTTTACCAGGGTGCGGCCGCTGCATGTGTTACAGCTACTTGGAGCCACAGGTGAGAGCTGAGCAACAGGTGGGGCCCAAAGGTGAATGAGCAACTCTAAAAAGCACAGCAGGCCCCTCCATCAGAGATGCTACCCCTCCCGGGGCACGCCATACACCCCAGTTTGAATATGGAGTCCATTGCAGGGCCGTAGTTCTGCAGCGTTATTTGGGAGGGAGGGAGTGAAATGTCCTACACTGTACATCAAAATATTGAGCCCCATCTTAAACTGGCTCTTTTGTTAGCATTTTGAGATGGACGTAAGGAGATTGTATATTAAGACTTTACTAATGCTCTCTTAGCAGCAGCTCAGATAAATATTTAATACAATTGAGATAGGGAACTTGAGTATGTGCGACACTTGATATCTTGAAAAAATAATGTATCAGACATGTTTGTCCAAGGGAAAAGTTAAATGGAGTTGTTGTTTTTAACCTACACATTTATTTCGTCTCTGATAACAAAATTATGTTTCCCTCATACTCTTATTATCCCTGGGAAGAATATATTCATGATCTATTATTTCATTGTCTCAGCAGATTGAGGTCTTGCACTATTATCATCATCACCTGTCTGTTTGGTTTTGGAGTGGCTTCATACCTCAGTGGAAAAAAGTGCCTAAAGTTTCTATGTTAGGACACATGTATGAGGAAAACGAGGAAAATATATTTTTGGGTGAATCTTTGGGTGAAAGAAGCAAGTTTTTAGAGGCCTCAGATGAACGGGATCACCTTAATAAAACTGAAACATAAAGGAATGTGCAGCATCCTTGAAGCTGGTGTGAACTTTCCTTGAAGCTGGTGTGAACTAGGCTGATTGTAAACTCCTTATCACAAACATCCCCATAGCAACGTAAGAGAGGATGCCTTCTTCCTGGCAGTTGGCACCTTGAACCAATTTGTTTCTTTCTCTCTGACACTATTGCTTTCCTTGATAGCAGTTGTTCCATCCTTGTAGATAGCAGAAAAGAACAGGGGCAGAAAGTAACTTGAGAAGTATTGCTCATTTAGGGATGCCTGCATCATCTTATGAATATGTATATGTATGCGTTCTTTTCTCTTCCCCTTCTTGTAGAACCGTATAAATATCAGGGCATCCATTTTGTCTACAGGGGAGTGTCTCCCACTAACCTGTAGTGAGGTCCCCCTCCAGTGCGTACTGTCTAATAAACACTGCAGTGAAGCCTTGATTATTTTACCTTTGTGTCCTGAGTTTTGATTCCACACATGAATAGAATTGCTGCTATACCACTCACATTAAAGGAGACTTAAAAAGCATTACAGAATGATAGCTATAGAAATACACAGAATTATTTGAGAAGATCAATGTCCTTCAGTTGGAAGTCTTCACTGGTGCCAGTTGCAGAACTAAAATCTGGAAGCTTAGTAGAGAAGTTCTCAGGGATAAGGGGGCTGACTTCCACTTTCTAGCTAGCATGTATCTTTAGTTTGTTATATAGATGTCCTACCTTTCCTCCTGGACTTCAAGGTGGATCATACGAGGGAATCTTCCTTCATTTTACCCCAACAATAAAAGCCCTGATGACCCAGTGGGTTTCCATGGCTGAGGATAGACTTGAACCTCTCCAGTTGCTACCCAGTGCCTTCATTGCTATACCCTAGAACAGTGTTTCTCAACCTTGGCAACTTCAAAATGGGTGGACTTCAACTCCCAGAATTCCCCAGCCAGCATGCTGGCTGGGGAATTCTGGGAGTTGAAGTCCACATATTGTGAAGTTGCCAAGGTTGAGAAACACTGCCCCAGGACCTTCCTTAGACCCCTGGCTTGAGGGATCTCTTACCAGAAGGATGCAAGATGATTTCCAGGTTCCTGTCATAACTGTGCTTATCTGCCAGGGTAATGCATATCGTTGATGCTGAACTAGCGTATGGATTTGCATCAGCTCGAAGAGCATGCGATGGGCTTTCTAGTCCTGCAGGAATGAAGGAAGAGGAGAAAGAGAAATGGCTTCATGTTAACTTGCTGGGATGTTACGTACTTGAAAACTGATCAGGTAGAAAATAGTCACTCTTCCTTTATGGACTGAGCAATGCTTGGTTCACCCAACTGCACAAGTGATGATTTGTAAGTATGGATGTGAAACTGTTGATGGGACTTTCCTATTAAGCAAATCTGAACATCACTTAAATATATTGAAATGGAGGCTGTTTCAAGGAGAGTGGTAAACATTAAGTACTTATAAAAGGATGGAAGGAGCCTTGCCCGTCTCTGCGTCTAGCTGGTATGAGCAGGGTCCAAGTGGCAGCACTGGCAACAGATGGACTGAAATGCAAAAGGAGGAAATGAAGGTGAGGTGGCCCTTCAATGTTGCTTGAGAGGAAGGAGGGCACAAGTGCAGAATGGCCTGGAGAATTTGCTTTCTGGTCTGTTTCAATCAGCAGAGAGAAGTGGGTGTCCTTTTCATTCTACTTCTAGTTGTGGGTGATGGCATTGTCCAAGGAGGACCATGGATGGAGTTGCTACCTTCACCACACTTCTCACAAAATTACAGAAAGTATGAATTGCAAGAGACCTTGTAAGGTCATCTAGTCACTTGGCCACCTGGACTCCAAAGAGGTAATTGCTGCCATGATTCTTTGGCTGCCTACTTCCTGGTCCTATCTTCTGAACATAGATGCCAAAGTGTTGAGCATCACACTCAGTGATTTGCCAGTAAGAATGGGAAATTAAATTTAATTTACAGGAGGAAATCAAGTTATACACATGGGTTAGGTCAAACTAAGTTTAATGTTGGGCCAGGTTATTTGCGGGACCATAATTGTTTCTGCCTGGGCCTCTAGATCTGGGATGGTGGGCATGCTCTGGGTCCCGTCTATTAAGCAGTGCCATCTGGCAGCACCCAGGAAGTGGGCCTTCTGGGTTGCAGGACCTGCCCTTTGGAACATCATTCCCTCCAGATTCGTTTGGCCTGACCCTGCTGGCGTTTCATAAATCCTTGAAGACCTGGATGTTCCCTTGAGCAGGGTTCCTGCAGGTAGGTGAGCCTGTCATTGTGGCATTTTCTGACACAACTGTGGTTATGTGGTTTGAGTATGGTTGCCCTTGGGTGCCATTGTGCTATCATGGTGTCACTGTTGTTTATTATTATTTATTCTTCCTGTTCTGCTGGTCTTAATCTGATGTTCGCTGCCTAGAGCGATGATTGTGAGATGGGTGTCTATATAAACTGATAAAATAAATAAATGTAACTAAGTAAGCAACTCTATTTCTGTAATCCTTATTTTGCCCAGGCCCTAGCCTTTTGACTTGGAGCCACCCATTTTTGGAGAATATCCTCCCGATCATTCAAGGGTCAAAGCATTTTTCACCCAGTCAAAGTCCACCCATGACCTAAGCCACGTATTTATTACAGTGACTAAAATTCAGGACTGGCCTGGTTAGAATTTGGATGGGAGACCACCGGGAACAACCAGGACTATACGTCAACTTGGGAAACAAACAAACAAACAAAGAAACTTCCCAGAAGCATGGAATAATGAACCACTTCCATATTGTTGTGAAGAAAACTGCATAGTCCTCAGGATATGACTCTACTGAATTTTAACTTAAAAACGTTATATAAATTATATCTAAACTATATTTAAATTAATTATATACAAATCAATGACCTAATTTATAGTGATATGGGGGTGGCACCTGGTGGATCTTGGTGGATCTGGAAAATGCTAAGCGAAACTGGATCTGAGATGGGAGACCACCATGAGTTTCTATCAGCATAGGTTAGATAAGAGTCAAAAAGTGTCCTGAAGGAAGGCTATGGCAAACCACTTGTGTACTGTTGCCAAGAAAATTGCATGGATATATCCAAGAAGTCACCAGGAGTTGAACTTAACTCAAGGGTGTCTTTATCTTTAAGAGAAAAAAAATCAAAATTATAAAGCATTGTTTCAGTTTCTTTGTTTTGAATTCTACTTCCTTTGACTTTGACTGTATTTATACCTCTTTTCCCTAGTGGATCTACAGCCTTAAACGCTACTCAGTCGACTCCAGCCTGAGGGAAAGACAGAAGGCTTAGTATAATTTGAGTTTTGCTTATTTATATCCCGGCACTTTGCTTATGAAAATACAAAAGCCAAGGATTGTCCATTTACCTCTAGCTGAGCGTCCTGCCCATGGTTGCTGATCTTACAAGATTCATGTCAGTTATTGGCAAACTGTTCCCAAATGTCTAAAAACTTCACTATGCTACCACTCTGGTAACAATAATAAACATGCTAATTTACAGTGTTTTCATGGTGTGGAATAAACTCTCAACCCAACGTTCTGGGTTTTTTAACATTTTATCTTCAGTCCACAGAGAAGCCATTCCTCAGCCCAGAAGTATGTTTTGATTAAATTGAAGCACGGTGAGGCCACAAATGCAGCCTCTTTCAGAGGCCCGGGACCCAAGCCAGCTCCTAATGGGATTAATTCCTTTGTAGGTCTGAAGTGTATGTTCCCAGCTCGCAGAAGCGGCTGTCACGTCCTCTCTTCCCTTGCTTCTTTCTCCCCTGCATATATCATCCTTTCATGAGAGAGTACAGGCTCAGCAATGAAGCTTTTTAAAAAATCCTATTTATAAAAAAGAAGTCCTGTCTCTCCCCCCACGCCATCCCCGTTTGAATAAGCTACTCTATCGATCTTCCACATGGTATAGTTAAGACAAGAATTGCCAACATTTTTGGTCAGGAATCTCATTAAGAGTTTGAGGAGGAGGTTGTAGGCATGAGAGCTACCAGGGAGGGTCCTGACCGTTCACAAAATGGCTGCCATGGTATTGTGGCCAGGCAGAGGAGGCCAGGTATAAAAGACCCCAGGGCCAGGCCACTGGCAGCACCCTGAAACCCTCAGACCTAAGCAGGAAGCATTTCCGGAATGGTTTCACTCTTTGCCACTACTTTTCATCTTTCCTGTTATCTTAATGGCTAACTGTGAGGTTCTACCCACAGTTACTCATGCCCTGGTCACCTCCAGAATGGACTACTGCAACACGCTCTACATGGGGCTGCCCTTGAAGAGCATCTGGAAGCTTCAGCTGGTGCAGAATGCAGCTGCACAGACAGTTATGTGAGCCCCTGGGATAGCGCACGTTACACCTCTGTTCCGTGAGCTGCAATGGCTGCCAGTTTGCTTCCAGGTGGAATTCAAGGTGTTGGTTCTGACCTTTACAGCCCTACATGGCATGGGACCAGGTTATCTGAGGGACTTCCCAATTATATCCTGTTTTTTTAAGGTACAGGAGCCCATCTGACACTCAGCAAGCACATTGGAATATTGGCATTATGCAGGCACACGCCCATGGAGAAACCAGATGTCCTGTCTCTCTTGCAGCCCAAGTCAAAATAAACATGGAGGGCACTGTTGAATTGTCAGGGATGGAAGGAGCATGCCTACAGCAGCCTAAAGTGGCTCGCAGGAACGGGTATATCTCACTCCTAACCATGTCATTGACTATATTGTCAATGAGGTCTTGTAGATTGTTCATACAGCATGCCTTGTATCAGGACAAGAGGGAAAACAATTTTTAAATTGGAATAACTAAAGAATGTAAGCTGCCTTTGTGATGGGTTGGGAATGAGATGAAGAACTATTCTTTAAGGACAGTTAGTGGTTAGAGGAACACCCCCATTTTAGGCTAGCCTAGCAAGTTTGTGGAACCCAGATTATGTATTGATAAATATCCACATGACTAAACCATAACCACAATGGTGATGCCAACACTGTTGAATACGTATCCTCGTTTACCACAACATTTAATTCCATAAATATATTTATCAAGAATTTCTTCACATTCCAATTTCTTGAGAAAGCAGGCACAATTTTCCTCTATGTAATCTACAACCTTATGGAATGGTTTTGAAATGTTTCTTTTAGTAACAGGGTTAACATAGCGTGACAGCAGACAGAAAACTGAAATGGGTAAACTTCTATTCCAGAATGAAAAGTCTGAAAACAGAAGCCTCTTCCTTGAATTCCAGGCCATGAATTCTGCCCAGGACAGTCAACAAAATATAGCAGCACTGATCAAACCACAGGAGTTTCCCATTCACAAACTACAAGGATTGCTGAATTTTGGAAGGAGAACTTTCTAGTTGCAGCCAGGCATCTATACTACATCTGCGGGAGAATCAGTCAAGCTACATTAACAGAATCTTGCAAATCTGAAAGTCCAATTCTCCTGCCTTCACCTTTACAGCTTGAGAACTTAGAGAGGGTCCCTTCTGAGCCTCTTGCTCCACCCACTGTGCAGCTGTGGGCTATGCCATCTCTTATCTGATTGTTCCCTAGGCAGCGTCTCTTTGCCCATCTCTCAAGGTCTTTTCCACATACCATTACAATAAAAGAAAACACCCCACACATATATTGTTGGGGGAAGAATGCCCTTAAGGGTAATTCTAACCCCTTTCCTAATCTCTTTGGGGATACGTCCCACCAGCAGTGCCAAGACACAGACTAGAGGAGAACAGATGCCATATCTTACCTGCCAGCAAACATGGTCCATTAACCAGCATCTTGAAGCTGAACTCGTAAGGGAAGGGATTATAAACGTCACCTCTGAAGATGTCGGTGTCCTTGGGAGGCATATGAAAAGATGGTTCACTCTTCAGACCAGTAGAGCCAAAACAACTGGTGGAGCTGAAGCAGAAGGAAAAGTCATATTGCTGACTATCATGTACCATTTGTCCTGTGAAACTTATGAACGACTGTTTAGGAAGCAAAACTTATATTTGCTACACGTTTCAAGGCCTCCTCAGAAGTTGCTTTCTTGGGGCGGGAGAAAAAAATATGAAAGCTTTTTAAATGAATGTCACCAGAAGAGTTTTATTGTTTGAAACCCATATTTGCCCATGTCCATTTACATTTATTTCAATATTGTGAAAGTTACAGAAGAAAACTGAAGAGTTTTTGTCTTCCTCTGAAGTAATTCTGGCTTTGAAACCATTACGTACTAGATTTGTCTGAGCAGGAAATTTTACAAGACATTTTCTTCACAGTGGTAAACGGTTAGGGTTAGGGTTCACCTAACCAATATTTAACGTGTTAGTTTGATCACTAAACCTTATAGAGAATTGGGGCTAAGATGGGAGGCAGAGGAAAACTAGTCTATTTGAGGATGAATCTGCAGATTAAGAATATACGCCCATTGTAGCATAAAGGTCAGAAGTTGCTTTTCAATCCAGACTTTTTACAAACTCTGTTAAAAGATACAGGTGGGAAAACTAAATATTAATATTCCTCACTTAACCACGCCCATGTTTATATTTCACTATCATGTTTATAATATTTCACTCATTCCCTCTTCACTCAGTTCTCTCCCTGATGTTTTCCTCCTACTTGGTAGCCAGAATTTCCTCCCTACTGGATACATACTGTCTTCCCAGAGCTGTCTAGAGCAGGGCTCCCCAAAGTGGCCAGTATTGACCCCCAAAGGTCAGTGGGATTATCTGTTGTTGTTATTTGTAGTACTCTTAAAATAGTATTTATTAAATTATTTTCATATAATAAATGGTTGGGGACTGATGAACAATCTGAAACTTCATGACGGGGTCGATGAGCTAAAGAGCTTGGGGACTCTTGGTCTAGAGGAGGTTTCCTCGACCTCAGCAAGGTGGGTGGATTTCAATTCCCAGAATTCCCCAGCCAGCATTGCTGGCTGGGGAGTTCTGGGAGTTGGTCCACCCATCTTAAAGTTGCTGAGGTTGAGGAACCCTGCTCTAGAGGTATTTTTTGTCCTGATTTAATTTCCTCCCCTTCCCCCAACATTTTTTGCTTGCATGAGCACAGGTATCAAGACTAGGGGAAATGATGCTGTAGGAATGATGTGATTGCCAGCAAATTTCCAGTTAGAGAGACTGAGTAACATTTGACTGGCATAGTTGCTACCTGAATGGTGTAGCACAGTGTAGCATGGTGGATTCCCCCCCCCCTGCTTTTTATGATAACCCTTGACCCTTCAGCATAGAGATTACAATCTAGTTGGTGGGCAAAATATTGTGGCTGGTTCACATATACTAAGTCATGGTTTATTTAAACATGGTTTGTTGAATAAACCACAACTGGCTAGACCTACACTATATGCTATATCAAAATGAAACAAACTATGATATGACTTAATGCAACACGGAACTCATTCCTGCAATCTCTTCAATATATCCCTTACCTCCAATCTATCAAGACGATTTTGAATCTTATTTCCATCTTCTAGGGCAATGTTTCTTAAAGTATGGACTGAGGACCCCTGGGGTTCCCCCAAGACCCTTGCAGAGGTCCACAAAATCAAAATTATTTGCAAATTATTGAAGATATTTGCAAAAATGTCAAACAATGTCACTGTTCTCATTAATATTTTTATTTATTTAAAAATATAGGTTTTTTCATGAAAAATATTTTATTTATGTTAATATCTAATGGATTTAATATTGCTATTTTTACATGATTCAATAAATACACATTCTATGAATGCATCAACTTCAATTTTTAATACAGTAAATATTGATAAATATAAGCCATACGAACAAAAGCTCTTTTGGGGTCCTCCATAATTTTTAAAAGCGGGAAGCAGTCCTGAGAGCAGAATGTTTAAGAAACACTGCTCTAGGGTTTTAGGTATCCTATCTAATTTTGTGTCATCTGCAAATCTAATAATCATTCCTTTCTCCTCATCCATGTAATCAGTACAAACACTGCAGAGTATATGTCTATGGATTGAACCTTGGCCACCCCATTCAATGCCTCTTTCCAAGTTTATAAGGAATCATTGATAGGCACTCTTTGACCAAGAGTTCAGGCCAGCTATGCGTTCACGTAACTGTCATTCCATTCAGCACATACTGAACTACTTTACTAATCAGAATGTCATAATGCAATGTAAAATCTTTAGTAAAATCAAAATACATGATATTGGTAGCATTCTCACAATCTACCGTTTAAGTTATCCTATAAAAAATAAGACAGCATTGTTCTATCTGCTTTCAACAACATGGGATCTTCTAAGCAGCTGTTTGAATGTTTGGAAATGAAGCTAATCCATTTTCTTACAACGCAAGGGAAAGCTATTAAAAGAAAAAGTCTTGGAACATGTCCAGGTAGGTATTTCACTTGTGAGAAACCTTTTAAGAAAGGGAGGTTGCATAGAACTGTTGAAATCAAAGCAAGCTGAGGAAAATTAAAAAAAAAAAAATCTGCTAGAACTGCTCCCAAACAGGTTGGATCTGCAAAACAGAACCCAAGGCTCACTGCAAATGACCTGAAAAGGTTAGCTGTCTTTGGGTACTGGTCTACTGTACAATGTTGCTTATACAGCAATGATCTGCATGGGAGAGTTTTCAGAAGGAAATCTCTTCTTGCCCTCATTACAAGAATAATTCTCTAATGTATACAAAAGAAAACCATTAAAAACCTGAAACATTTTACAACACACTGCTATTGTAAAAGTTTAGTTCTTTGGCCAAACCACCATGCAATACATTTGGAGGAAAAAAGGTGAAACATTTGATGACAAGGACAACATGGGGGTGGTGTATTATGCTCTGGAGCTGAGTAGCAGTCAATGACACAGGAAATATTAATGGGTGGAAGGAAGAATGGTTTCTACTATCTATCAAATGTCCTAGAAATGAATGTACCACACTCAGTGAAGATGTTGAAGCTGAAAAGAAGCTAGGTATTTCTTCAATAGAACGAATGAAACATTTCTCCAAATCAACCATGAATTGCTTATAGGGAAGAAAGATAAAGGGTTTGGAATAGCCTTCACAGTCCCCAAACCAGAATATTATCAAAAATCTGTAGTGAGATCTCAAACATGAAGCACAAGAAGGAGGCTTAAAACATTTCTTAACTAAAAAAATTCTGAAAGGAAGAGTGGGAAAAAAATTCAAAGCAAGATTTGGAACATTTGGAAGTAGTTATTTCTACCAAAGCAGGTGTTACAAACTACTGACTGCAAGGGTGTTTTAATTTTTGTACTTGCCTTATTTTGAATCTGAAAACAGTTGCATGTAAGTAGCAAGCATTCATTCAAATTTGCAGAAAGATATATTTAACTTTGTATACTATAAAAGTTGTGTCAGCTTCTGTTCACTAAGGGATTCTGTTCACTAAGGAATTGAAACACACAATTCGACCAGGGGTGTCTAAACGTTTGAATATAAGTGTAAGTTTGACTACGCTTGAGTTTTAGTTTCCATTAAAATCAAGAACTCCAGCATAACTTGATTACTTTCTCCCCTTGTTCCCCCATTTTCATTTCTTCAACTAAGTATTTTCTACTGGTTAATATTAGAACCAAAAATAACTCATGTCCTTGGGCCTTTCTCCACCCTCCAAAGGAGAAAGTTGTCAGCAACACAAGTCAGGGATGTTCTGAAAGAACCATGCTTTGCAGAATTGATCTTCAGCAGATATTGGAGTAATTAAAGTCTCCCTTCACTATTTCATGACTCTTTAAAAGATTCTGTAGATTCCACTACTATTGCTTTGTTTGTCCATCTCTTTTAATCCAGATGCTCTAGTATCACAAAATTAATTCAGTTATTTTTGAGCATGGGTAAATATTTTTAACATACAGTACATCTCCCTTACAGTGTATGTTAAAAATCATGCCTCCAGGTCATCATTATAACTATGGAATTGTATTTGCACTATGAGCTTAAGTTATCTTATTCATTTTTCATACTGAAACATTTACTTTATGAGCCACTGTTCTTCCTGATTTTTATTGAATGGTTTAACAGGCCCAATTATAGCAACATTCTGACTTCCTTCTGCAGTCTACCATATTTACTTTAGAAGTTTCATCTCCAATCTCCACAGGATTCAGTATAAAATCTTTCTGATGTGTCTTTCCAATCCTTATGATGTGCAATACATTTCATGTGAGTAGACCACCACTAGATATCTCCAATCATGGTCCTAGAAATTAAATCTCTCCTATCAACACTATTTGCACAGCCAGTCATTTATCTACATTATGCTTTCATTCCTAGTCTATGGACCAGAAGGACAGATCCAAACACCATTTGAGCCCTCAGGTTCTTGAGCTTCCTTTGAGATCTTTAAAGCCATGCTGCTACATTTTTATATATACTCTTGGAGAATCATTTATTCTTACACAGATTATCAGAAAGGGAAAACTGTCAATAGATTTGTGGTAGTTATTTTGTCACATCCCTGATTTTAGCAGGTAGCATATTTCAGGAGCCAATGGAGCTGGACAACACACATTTCTTTTGTTGCTTGTATACTTAGTCTTCATTTCCCATGACTTTTCTCTTTGTCTTCTTGCAGCTACACTCCCTCTGACCCACAGGGATCCACTATCTTATCAGCAGCGTCCCTTTTTCTCCTCTCGAAGGTTCAGAGCCTGTTTCTTCTGAGAGGCTCTTAACTGTGATGGCCTGACATCAAGTTTCAGAAACCAAGTAGAATTGGTTCCACTTTCAATTCCTCTTGTAGTGCCTCCATTGTTTGATGTGCTAAGTCTTCATTCTCCTGTAAGAGCTAAAGTGTGGCCATTTGCTCTTCCACTCCTCTGACTTTTTCTTCAAGTACTACTATACATTTGCTACAAACATGTGCCAAATTGTGCTTAGACATTAATATAAGCATGCTACAAATACAGGTAGTCCTCACTTAACAACTGCAAATAGGACCGGCAACTCTGTTGCTAAGTGAAAACTCAGATGACTGAGCCGGACTTATGTCAGTTCTGCTGCAGTCATTAAGCAAATCACCATAGATTGTTAAGCCCAAAATCACATGACCGTGACTTGCTACTGGCTTCCCCATAGACTTTGCTTGTTGGAAGTTGGTTGTGAAGCTCGCAAATGGTGACCACATGACTGAGGGATGCTGTGACCATTGTAAATGCACATCAGTTGCAAAGCAACTGAATAATGATCACATGACTGTGGGGACACTGCGACAGCTGCAAGTTCAAGGACCTACTTTTTCAGTTCTGTTGTAACTTTGAACAGTTACTGAACAAGGCAGTCAATAAGTGAGGACTAACTGTATAACAGATCAGGACTGCAGCATCCTATCCATTCATCTGCACTTCTATTGCAAGGCATCATCACTAGCAGGGTTTTTATTTCTTTTTGTTCTCCTATTGAGCTCTCAGATTACCCACGTATACATTATTGAGAGAGGGAAAGCTTGTTTGGGCTTCCCAGCCAAACTCCTATTAATGTTGTTTGATCACTCAGCATTATGACCCTATCTGATGGCCAGACTCTTGAACTGGAGGAACAGGGCTTCACAGGTTCTGAACTGCCACTCAGAAGCCAGTGAGCATTCAGATATCTGCAGATGAAGCTCAGAAACAGTAAGACCTATTGGAAGATGAGCCTGTTCGGTTGAAGCAGTCAGGTAATCAGCCATCTGTTGCAGAACCCAGGCAGCAGCCTGAGATAGCTGACTCTGAGCAGAAAGAGAACCACAACCCTCACACACACAAAAAGGTTAAGCAAGTAGAACAAAGACAATGAGGTTCCTCAAAAAGAAGAGGCAAGACCCAGAAGAATAGACATGCTTGATTCAGTGGTAAAAGAGAAGGGCTTGGGAGTCTGGTTTCTGTCAGCCAACAAGTTTCCAGTCTTGGACCAGTTGCCTGAAAATGTGCTAACTTGATTCCTCGGCTGACCTCTGGACTGATACAAGACTAAGCTCTACTCCGATTCTTGGATTGATCTGCAAGAAACGTCAGCTTCTGAAGTAAGTTTGTTGTAATTCCTTAGCTTTTGCATCCCTGCACTGTGGTGAGATTTAGAGCTGTCATTTTATCTAGATCCTGCACTGGCAACTGCTGGCAACAGGATACTCCATAAGCTTACTTCCAGGAAACAACAACAACAACAACAACAACTACTACTACTACTATTTATTGGCCACCCAACTAGCTGCCTTATATTCCTTCTACAGTCTTTGCAGCAACTTCTGCTTGCTCAACAGGAAGTAACCACTCAGTCATCCATAACTGACAATCAGTAGCCCCCCTGGCACTCTTCTGGGACATTCAGGATACACTCTTGACAGATAACTAAACACACTACTATCTCAGAATACAGGGATCTTCTCTTTTGTCTTCTCAACCTGTTGAACTCTGTAGTCAAATACCTATCAGCTCTATTTGCTTGCTTATTTTGCCTTGCTCAGTACATTCACCTTATGTTCCCCATAGTGGCTGACTTATATTCCCCACTGTCTCTATATCAGTCTTTGCTTACTTAGCAGGAAGTAGTCACTCATTCACCCTTCACTATGGCTTATTCAAATGACTTTGAGCCTTAAGTTGAAAGTAATACAGTGAATTTTATGACTTAGGCTTAAACATTGAAAGTGGAATCATAGCGCCATGATGGCTTACTCAAATTGTTGAGAGAGCTTTCCAAGCTATCTAGGATGCAGGGAGATACCACAACCTTTTCTTTCCCCTGTTCCCATGGTTATTTTCTGGCTCTTAATGGCCTCCATAAACCCCTTCAACTTTTCTCTGAATCCCATAGACTCCGAGAAAGCCATGAAAATCACCATAGGGCCAACCTGTCGTCACACAAGCTTCTTGCCTCACTTTCACTTTCAGGCAGGGCTACAACAAAAGGCATGAGTACAGATGGGAAGAAGACATGCAGTGCACCACCGGGCAGGGTTGCCAGCTCCTGGCTGCTACTGAAGAGCACAGTCAAAGTTTCTGAGGGCTCAATGGGGCCTGTGCTGACAATGAAAGTAGACCGTGCCAAGTCTCCATCAAGGATCAAGTGACCTAGGTAGAAGAGAGAAAGTAGTTACCAATGTCCGACATCTTAAAAACACCACTCTCAATGATCCGCATATAGAAAACTGGAGTCACTACACACTTTCTTCCTGTTCCTATTTGAATACTACCATTACAGCGGCAAAATCTCAAAATTCTTGACATTGCAAAATCTCAAAATTCTAGACATTGCATAGGACAGTTAAAAACAGTGAGGACAAATATCCCTTTGAGTAGAGGGGATACCTTTAAAAAAAATCTTACAACAGGGCCAATTAGACCAACATTATCATCCATAATAGCATAGATCACCCTTCCTTTTACCCTGGAGGGACGCTTGAAATAATGTTTAACCCTGCATAAAAACTATTTTATCTACAGCTTGCATTGTGTGGTGATCAAAGTTTAAAAAAACAATATTTTTTTCCAATCATAATCTCTTGCAGAACCCCAGAGACGTTTCAGGAAACCCCAGGGCTCCATAAAACTCCATTGGCACAGATCAGGGCTTAAGGAGCATGTCTTGACTAGGATGGCAATTCATGTTGATTCATTTGTGTTCATGCAGGCATTGAGATTTGAGCTAGAAACTTCTGCTTTGCTCAGAAGTCACTTTTCCCCTATTCTGCCTCTCTAATGGACTGCTGAAATCTAGTGCTCTTAAGACAGAGAACCTATCTTAGGGACCTTTCGAAATCAAGAAAATGCTTTTGTGCATCCATCCAGAGCAGGTTCAAGCCCCATCTCACTATTCTTTTCAGGAGTCCTGGGTACAGAGCTCTGCTAGGCGATATGACCCCAACCAACCGTTACCGCAGCGGAGTGGCTGGTTGCAATTCATATTACAGTCAAGGCAGCAATCATCCACTTGAGGCCGGGTCTGGATCTGGAAGGTGGAGGTTCTGTTTCCCGTTGTTGCTTCAAAGCTTGAGACCACCTCCGACTCCTCCAGGGGATAGACAAATACTCCTGTGCCAAAGAAACCAGACAATTCAAGCTGACTGTGCACCCCTTACGCCAGTGTTTCTCAACCTTGGCAACTTTAAGATTTGTGGACTTCATCTCCCAGAATTCCCTAGCCAGCCATGTTGGCTAGGGAATTCTGGGAGATGAAGTCCACACATTTTAAAGTTGCCAAGGTTGAGAAACACTGCCTTACATTAAACTGATCCACCTTCTTGTTGTGAACAATGCTGAAGAGACTGCAAATGCCCTACACAGGAGCCATAAGGGCAACAAACTTTAACTCCATGCAATAGCTATTGTTCATTCTATTAGAAATCAAGGGTACTGTTAATTAGATACAGAGGTGCTTTCTCCTGAAATCAGAAAAAGTTGAAGAACACTGGCTGATGGATGGCAACAAAAAGTGAATTATATCTCTGTTAGAACTGGGCAACCTAAGGCCTGCACGTAGCCTACCGAGTTCCAATAAATTGTACTACATTCAAATGAAGTAGTGCTTTTTTATTATTATGCTGTCATGTTTTATGTTTTGCATTTTGTAAATTATTGTAGCTGCTCTGGTTGTTTTTACAAACAGAAAGATGGGGTAAACATTTCATAATAAATAACATTATTAGTTTGTGTCAGAAGGCTACAGGAGGCATATCCTGTTGATGCAGTGATTTTACTGGGAAGTTGGACTGAACGTTTTCAGCCCATTAGGACATTTTTTGGGGTGCAAATGGACTTAGACTAATTTGCAATTAAAAATGTTAAAAATCACATCACCAAGAAAAGATAATTTTTCCCAAATTTTAATGACATAACCTCAGAATGCTTTGGTGGATACAAAGTTTAAATTTTTAGGACTTACCTAAAAAATAAAAAACCCTAACTTCCAAAAACACACCTTCCCTGGAAATCCCAGCTGGTGATAAAATTATTTCATCCATCTTCCACTGCAGTGTTCAGATGCCTCTCTGGGGTAGGAGAGGGGTAGGAGTAGGGGAAGAGAAAAGTGCAGCTCCTTTCGGTAAATGATAGTCTACTCCTGATCTGTGCCATGTAGCGGCCCCCCAAAACAGTGTGCTGTGCTTCTTTTGGGGCATGCTGGGTAGAAATCATGGAGGTTGAAAGCTGCTGTAGATCAGGTCTGATGTTGCTGAACCTGAAGTTGAAGCGCTCTGACCAACCTGGCCACAGTGAAGGATGGTAGAGACCATAGTTCTGCTACATATGGAGGGCTACACGTTAAGTCCTCACTTTTGCTATATATTATGTCCCTGTCAATAGCTATTTACCTGATGCTACAGGAGGAGCTGAAGAATCAGTACCAGGAATTAAACCAGGAATACAACATATAAACTATGCTTATATAGCTTACCTTTGGAACTCTAAAAGAAGCTCACCTTCCACAGGTTGCTGTTCCAGATTGATATAAGTAAGGTTGGCAGTGATGCCCAAGGTATACCCATTGGCACAGGCCTTTACACATGAGCTCTGTAGAGGAAGGGCAGTCCAGGAGGGCAAGCAGTACAACCCTGGCATGATCTTTGGGTCAAACGAACAGGTCTCAATTTCTGCAGCTAAGATGAGAAAAGACAAAGAACACAGAGAATGCCTGGTGAATCTACACTAGAGTGGAGAACGGATTTAAACACTGAGGAGGCTGTCGTTCAAAAGCACCTTCAGAATGAATCCAGATGAAAATAGGATGTAACCTGATCTTTATTTCAAGCCATTGATGAAATGGCAGAATAATTGTTCCATCATTTGGAAACTTCCACAGGAGGATTCTGGGTCCGTTGGAAGGCAGCTCCAGATTTCTGGGATCCCACAACATCATTTGGGTGAGCCAAATTACTTCCAACTCAGCTGTGACATTGTTGAAACTATAGCAAAGTTCGTTTTTCCTTTTGCAAGGCTGTGATATGGAGACCACGGAGCTTTGGGAAGATCTGTTTTCCCATTCCAAAGAAATAGCACTTGACATCTCCTCCTGCTCCTGAACCTCAGCCATCTTAAGAGACCCTGTAAGGGACATGATAGCTTGAAGCTTCAAGCTCCCTCCTAGCCAAACAGGCAAAATCAGCAAGGGCAAGGGCTTTTCTTCTTGGCCACATTAGAAGTGTTTTCTTCCACCAGTTCCTGAGTTGGCTAAAATGTACGCTGGCATAGATTGTGCTGACCCAACAGCCAAGACCTATTCTGCCTCAGTGACAAAGCAAGTGAGTGGAGCTGGCCTTACAATTGAATGTGGGACCAATTAAGGAAAGTGGTAGATTCAACTAGCTTCACTTCCCCTCCCAAAAGAGTCACTTTGCTTAATTTGTGGAGGGATGGGTCTGGGTGAGTATAGTTGAACAGGATGGTTAGCTACCTGTCAAGCTTCTGGAGTAAAATGTTCTGGACATGCATTCCCCTCTGCACCTATGACTTTCTGAACACGGGTCTAACATGCTTTTGGAAGAGTGATAACCACATGAACAAAGAGCCCAGCTGGCAGGTCACGGGGCAGAGAAGGGGCACAAGGTGAGGTGGGAGGAGCTCTTCCAGGCCCATTCCAGTCCATATCAAATTTTGATAAGTTTTGACAAGTTTTAAGCTCATCAAGTGTTGCAAAGGAAAGACAGTGTGGTTGGTGAGTGGCCGGGACTGGCAGCAACCAGATGTAGTTCATAGAATCAAGTGGGGAAGCCCAAAAAAAAAAAAAAAAAAAAAAAAAGGTTTAAGTAGTATCACCAAATGATACTAAACCTCTTGTCAGCAGCAGCAGCAGAAAACCTGTAATCACACAGCTGGCTAAACTTGGTTAAAATGGACTTTCTGTGCAGCATTGGACTCTTTGAAAGAAAGCTAAACTCATGGTTAAACAGCGGGTCTAGTACTCTTTCAAAAGGGTGCTAAACCTGTGTGTCCATCCCATGTAATTTTGAGCAAGTACTTTCCAAAGTACCGGTTAGCTATTTGGCGGTCAGATGCCTCTGTGAAAGTCAGATCCAGCAGCCTGACTTTGGCCCTGAAAAACAGCTCCCAGAAACCAGAAGGAAAGTTGTACCACGGCAGCAACTGCATCTTAAAGTAACCGATAGGAGCTGAGCAGGTCTCAGGACTCACCTCTGTCATCAAGTGTGCGGTCAAGAATGCGTCCTAGATTGTGTCTATGACAAAAATTGTGTTAGGCAAAGAGGAAAAACTGCCTTAAAATTGGATCGGCTTTAAGACCCTTCTGCTCTTGGCCACAGATGAAACGGAAAGCAATGGCACAAGGATGTGCCATTTAAAAACAGTTACCCGGGAAGGCATCTATGGCCCTTGTGGATGAGCCCTGACAGTGACAAAAGTTTCACCCATTCCCTCCTTCTGGTCTGCAGGAATGAGCCAGCATGCAAAGGGTCAGGCTCCTTGAAAGCTGTGTTTTCTCTCTTTTTGGGTGGAGTGTGGGGGCGTGGAGGGGAAATGAGCGGATTCTCGGCCTTCCAGACCCACCACAGCTTGGAACGAGGCAGATGATACTCTTTGCTCCTTGTCTGCACTGTTTTTAGGTGATTGCACGCTGCTTTCACACTGCTTTTAAGGAAGTGAGGAATGGAAACTGGGGCTGTGGAAGTGTCCTTCTACTGGAATATAATTACAGGGACAACCTGAGAAAATGTGACTGAATATATGCTTCCAACATTTTTCCCATGCCAGTTATGTCTCCAGCGGGTCTTTTGTTAGCTTGCCAAGTTGCCTACAAAGGCAAAGATGTTATTCAGGAAGTAACTATTTTTCCACTTCTGCCTGACCAGGAAAATAGTCTTGTGCGCAATAATATTTTAAGTCAAAAATATGCACTTTTTTCCCAATTGTTTTTAATGACATGGAATCAGGCCTTCCTTATGTTGCCAGGCACAATGCATTTCAAAGTTGTGGTACTGTCAGTTTTACTTGTGAGAGGCTGCTAGAGGAAAGTGTACATTGTTAACCAAACTTTTTTTGGTTTAAAATAAGCCTTGTAAAATTGACCAGTTAAGGTTGCAAGACTGTGTTGTCAAACTATGAATGGGTAAAGCACCAAGAAGATGAAGTGAGGAAGACAGTTGTGAAAGCAACTTCTCCTGGAGTGAGCAAGAAAAGATTGAATTCTTACACCATCAAATGTGCAGGAACGAAGGAATGATGGTTTGAGCTTGTCTGTGTTCACAGAGAATTGGACTACACAGTCCAACAGGAGTCTGTACCTGCAGTACTGTTGATTGTCTGAAACAGACAGCTCCTACTGTTTTTCAGTTGCAAGGCATGTGTCTCGTGCTTACATCTGACACACAGATAATACATATGCACTTTACTATTTGTCAAAACTAAATCAAAACTCATCTTGGAAAGCTATCAGCCCACAGTTTCACACGTATGGAAGGGCTTCAGTGTTTATATTGGTTATACAGGCACTAGATATTTTGAGATGAATCACCTGGTCCTTGCTGAGTGCTGCAATGATTGCAAAGCATGCTGAACTGGGTGGAATTTGGCATTTCTATATTCCTAATTATGAATTCATACTCTGGTTGTGAAAAGAGAGGAGGAGAATGTCCATTAACCAATTAAAAATGTGTGTTGAAATATTGTTGTGTTCACCCCCATAAATGTGGGGGTGGAATCATATGTAACTCCTGATCTTCACATTTTTGGGGATATGGGATTTTTCTAAAACCTGTTTTTTTAAAATATTCTTTAGTTAAGGCTCACACGCAGGGTTAATGTGTTATGTGAACAGCATAACTCAGTCTGTGGAGCAGTTGAGGGGATTACTTTTAGCCCAACTAGTTCCCAGAATGGTTTTGGCTTAACTAATTGTCCTTGGTCAGCCATGTCAGACAATCTGGCTTTCTCTTCCTTTGCAAAAGACTTTTTTTTCTTTTTCATTCCCCCCACCACCACCACCACACAGTGGAAGGAATGGGGTAGTAACTTTGTGCCACTGACCTGTCTAAAAAGAAAACATGGACAGATCTTATAAATACTAATTATTTGATGTGGTCATCTTTCATTAGCTAAGAGGTGGCTGGTATCCATTTTGCTTGGAGTTCATCTCCTGCCATTTAACAATTTCCCTTCTCTCAAATTTATTATGGATTTATTAACACATCAGCAGATATTATGGTACCTTTTAATATCCTAGTTACCTGCTACCCTTTCTCTCTCTACAAGCATGGCTAGATCGTCCAGGTGATCCAGGTGGGTGGCTTATGGAATTGGAACAGGTGATGCTGCCCTTGGAAACCAAGCCACTCTTTGTGATTTCAATCCCTTGGAGTTGCTGGGCCCCGCTGACCTCTCGAGCGAAATGGAAGATGATCCCTCTTCCGAAAATAATTCTTTGTTTCCAGGTGACCTTGACTATACCATGCACATGGAGCACAAAGTGCAGCTGAGAGGTCTCAGCCAGCTGTTGTTCATGTGAAAGATGGCATGGAAAAACAAACAGAGATACTGTGCAAAGCCACTAGTCAATTCTGAGCACGCAAAGATGTAGCACTTATATTTCTCTCTGCAGTGTAAACTCTAACTAGCTGGAACTGATTAGGAGAACTGCTGTTACGATAAGGCCGCTGTTATAACTAGACCAGCCTTTCCTAGTCACCAACAGCTATATTGGTTGAAGGTTGTAGACCAGTGTTTCTCAGCCTTGGCAATTTTAAGATGTGTGGACTTCACAGAATTCCCCAGCCAGCATTGTGGGTCACAGGATGCTGTAGTAAATGGTTTGTTGGTCCAATCCAGTCAGGGTTGTCTTATGTTCTCTTTAAAGATTGGTCAATATATCTTCTTTAAAGTGATGCAAAGCTATGCTGGAACTTTGCTAATAAGATGAACTCAAGGCACTATTGAGAGATTCAGTGAGATTTCCCTGGCTGTATAAAAAATTACTATTTAGAAATAATCATGAATTATCTGACCTGAGAATTTTTTTTTTGGAAGGGAAGACTATAGATATCACTCTCCATTAGAAGAAAAGGCCCTCTTGGTTTTTTGTTTGTTATTGCCTTTACACCAAATTAGCTTCCAAGAATAAGCAAGCATTCTTAACCTGCAGACAGCTTTATTAAAATTAAGCAATTCACATCTCAGATGATTAATCACTCATTTAAAGTTTGCAAGCTTAATCATAATTTAACTTTTTTTTTTGCATTTTGTATCATATACTCCCTTTTGCTTGTACAATACTTTATAGGGAGAGTGGGTGGGTGGGGAATTCTGGGAGTTGAAGTCCATACATCTTAAAGTTGCCAAGGTTGAGAAATGCTGGTATAGAAACTGAAGTCGGACACATCCTGTTAGATAGTGTGCTCTCATTATGAAACTTTGAAGACTTCAGGATAGAGGTTTTTTGGGCAACACCCAACACCCACATACTCTCCCCATAAAGTATCGTACAAACAAGAGGGAGTATATAGTACAAAATACAAAAAAAAAGTTAAATTATGATTAAGCTTGCAAGCTTTAAATGAGAGATTAATCATCTGAAATAAAACCTCTAAACTAAAGGCAACTGAGGGCAATGAATTTCACAACTGTAAAAGTTGATGCCTTCCACAAATTTGGG